AATAAATAAATAAAATAAAAATCAACCAGCCACCCTCCTCCCCTGACAAGTAAAGAACAGTCCCTAAAGTGCGCTGAGGTTTGTGGACTGTTACCTGACACAAAGAGAGAAATGTGAACGGCGTGTTTCTCCTCTGACACGTCACATACCTGTATTCGGCTGGCTCAGCTGTTCAGGTACTTCTGGGCAGTCATGACACCAAGAAGAGGATATTATTGGAGCCGACTTCTCCGTCGCCGGTAAGCCTATGGCCGCCATATTTGACAGGAATACATTACTGTCTGTGTCTTCGACCTCCGTTCAACCCACAACCGGTGGGATTTGCCTTTCGTTTCTGCTGGTGGTTGAAATCTGTAGGCTGCTCGCACAGCGCGCTGAATGATTTAAGCCTATTTTGCTCGCTCAAAACTATTTTTAGTCGCAAATGCGAATGCGGTGACGGACGGATCGCCACACTGCCAACATTTTACTCCGCCCGTCACGGCACGCTGTTTGATTGCATTATCAAAACACGTCGCTATTATTCGGCCTTGCTTTTAACTTATTCCACCGAATACCGAATGTGTGTTTTTTTTGCAATATTCGGCTGAATATATTCAGTTACCGAATATTTGGTGCATCCCTAGTCTGGATGTCTGATCATCTCATTTCCCACTCTGGTGCTCTTTGTGTCTTGTTTACTAGGATGGCTCATAGAAGCGTGGAGGCTTTTGGGTCCGGTTTGACCTTGATGAATGATTCCTTCATTCGTCCTCGACAGCGCTGCCTTCCCAGGTAGGTTTTTATCATCATTAAAATGTAACTGCATTCACTGATATTTTACACACACACAAGTCTGATGATGTCAGTCATTATTATGTTCCTTTAGAAGAAGGAGCAAAGGAATAAATGACCAGGAGTTGTTTTGCTGTGCTTGTAGGCTTCTCAGAGGTTTCTTCCTTACAAGTGTACAGAGCAAGGGTGATAAGTGATTACTCTAAAAGTCTGTGTTGATAAAAGAGAGGAATCATTCAGTGGGAACAGAATCAACTTTTACTGAACTTCTCTGATGTCTACTCAGTAGTTTCTGTGTATCCATCAGTTGATGTGTCTGGATGTCTGATCATCTCATTTCCCACCCTGGTGCTCTTTGTGTCTTGTTTACTAGGAGGGCTGAAAGAGAAGCACAGCGCGATATGGAAATGTACGTATGGGTTTGTGTATGTTATGTATTCACTATATGTATATGTTAATATGCTCAATGGAGTTCCTAGAATTATTTTGTATAAACTACTGGCCTAATGGTCCCCTAGAGGTTTATGGGATGGGGAGAGGGTTTGTTTCTTATTTTTCATTTTGCTATTTTATTATACTTCCATTGTCTACTATCTTTGTTTATTTAATGCCTGCCATATCTCATGGGTTTTTTATGTTTTATTATTATTTTATGGAAAAATTCGATAAATAATTGATGACAAAAAAAGAAGAGCACTGGTCTGTCCCACACACCACCCCATCTCATGTAAGCTTTTATCATCATTAAAATGTAACTGCATTCACTGATATTTTGCACACACACAAGTCTGATGATGTCAGTCATTATTGTGTTACTTTATAATTGTAGCATGTGTTAGCTAACGTGCTGCTGTTGCTACGTGACCTGTGAAGACAAGTTTACTGTTCCTCAGTGCAGTTCAGGTTTAAAGATGTTGTTTTCTTAGCTAAGCATATTATTAATGTATACCCAGAGGAAATAATTGGCTGCTGACCACAGTTTTTACTTTGTCTCATCAGACATAAATCATCTTCTTATTTGGACATTACTACTTTCTGATCTCTTTGTCACATCACTCATGTTCACCCATCAGCCAAAACATTAAAACCAGTGGTGGGTGAAGTGGGTAACATTGATCATTTTGTTCCAATGCAATGTTCTGCTGGGAGACCATTGGTCATGGCATTCATGTGAATGCCACTTGACGCCCTCCACCCATCCAAACACCACTGTGGGCTAAGTAACCCCCCCACATGGCAACGGTATTCCCTGATGGCAGTGGTCCCTCAGCAGGAAAATGCACCAAGCTACACTGACTCCAAATTCCCCAGATCCAAATCTGATGGAGCATCCATGGGATGTGCTGGCACCCCAGAGGTACCCCCAATCCATGGTGGGGCCTCCCTGGATCAGACTTGTCTCTGACCTGTCAAGGAATGGACACATGACCTCTGGAAGGCGTCCTGTGGTGTCTAGAACCGGGGTGCTGGCTTTGGATTATTTGAGACCTGTCAGTTGTGAGGAGGGGTACCAGCACTTTCCAAGATGCTCAGTCAGATTGGTGTGTGGGAGATTTTGAGGCCAGGTCGACACCTTGAGCTTTTTGTCACGTTCCTCAGGCCATTCCTGAGTAGTTTTTGTGGTGTGGCATGGAGCATTTTCCTGCTGGGGGGCCACTGCCATCAGGGAGTACGTTGCTGTGAGGTTGGGTTACTTAGCCCACAGTGGTGTTTGGGTGGGTGGAGGGCGTCACATGGTGTCCACATGAATGCCAGGACCAAAGGTTTCCCAGCAGAACCACGTGTGTGTGTGTGTGTGTGTGTGTGTGTATATATATATATATATATATATATATATATATACATAAATGTATAGTTATTAATTGTTATATATCATTTTTTTTATCAGTTTCCATTACACTGATATATTCCCAACACACACAGACATATTATTACATTTTATTTTTACCCATTGTTTACATTTTAAATAATATCCTGTGTTTCTATCAAAAAGGGAGGAGATGAACCAGGAGCTGTCGTCTGAAGTGGGATGGAAACATGGTTGAGGCACCTGTCAGCACCTGCACCTGATGGTCTCTTCATCACCATCAACATCATGCTTGCTGATGCTTCCTGCATCACTGTGTATTCAGAAATTTAAACACAGTTTAAACACAAATATGTTTTTTATCATTATGCTGAGTTTGTTGTTACCTGCAGTGGTCGAATTGAGGGGGGGTGCCATCCCCTTTGTTAGAAAATTGACCAAAAAGCATCCCCCTTGTTAATCTAGAATCTGTGTGTGCAGGCACGGACGTAATTTTAGGCGGGACACAGGAGACATGTCCCCCGCCTCCTGTATCTGTGCCCTCTGTCCCCCGCACTTTTTACAGCCGTTACAACCGTTCAATTTGTTTAACATGTGGTAACGTGTTTTTCCGAGCCATCTTCCTCTATTTTATGTTTTTATTTTACCTTTATTTAACCAGGTGAGTCAGTTGAGAACAGTTTCTCATTTACATTGATGACCTGGGCAAGAGGCAGCACAGAGAGTCAGACACATTCAATCACAGTGAAACAATCAATCGGACACAGTATATAAAATACACAACACATAACAAAAGTACGCACCATGAGTAGACAGCGCCAGGCGCATACACATGCTGTCGTGTTGTGATCTGAATCAATCGCACAGACCAGACGTGTGTTACTGGGCAGTGCAGCTGTGTCAACTACGTTCAGCAAACCAGCCAGCAATAAGCAAAAAACCTTGCACAGTTTCTTCCAGACAATGCTGTTGCATGTAGATAATGTTAGCTAAATGATGACTAATTAATAGATGCCAATATATCAAGTTAACGAGAACACTAATGTTATTGTTACCTATGTGAAATCGCTTGCTAGCTAGTTTCATGCTAGGAAAAAACCCACTCCTCCTTAATAAGAACTTGTGCTCACTATTGCTTTGCACATATTTGTATAATCTCTATTGCCACAATAGAAAGAGCAGGGTCAGGGAGGAGACAGTGGACCAGAGGCCAGCAATGGTGATCATGCAGGGTCTTCACAGGTGAGGAAAGATTATAACTGGCTGAGAGAAAATATCCAGAGCACAAAAGTGACTTGAGGTTAATTTCCACAGCTATGTCACCACTACTATTCCTAATTCTATTTCTAAATTTTGCTTTGCACATTTATTATCTATATTATTGCAATAGATAGAAGAGGGACAGGGAGAAAGGTTCACAGGTAAGGAGAAATTATAACTGGCTAAGGACATGTCTATAGGATAAGAGTAACTCTGAGGTTAACTTTCACAGCTATTTCAGAACTACTCTTATTTATACTCTAAAATGTTTTTGTCTGTATTGCAATAGCAATACTACTGCATTATTTGTGTCTTTTAAAGGCAGCAGGTAAAGGTCATGCCATTTTTCTTTATCTTGATTAATTTTGCACATCTGTGCTGTCATGTTTGATTATGTGTGCACGCAAAAAAATCAAAGCTACATTGCATCTCCCTTGTTAAAAATTAACAATTCAACCACTGTTGCTATGCTTCAAGTTTTGTAATCTCTATCATTTCTGAGCCACATCAGTATTATGTACAGGTCAAGATAATTAATGTGAGGGAAGGGTTTTTATTTTTCTAAGTGCATTTTCCACTTTTATACCACGTCTTTTGTAACTGGGCTGCGGATGTTTTTTCCCTTTTCTAATAAATAATTGTGGTACACTTAACTGACATGAATTTTTATTTGCTATATGTGTAACTTTGGTGCAGCTGTGCTGGGATCTTGGGCTCAGGAATAAAGGTAGGCAAGTCACTGTTGCTGTCAGGTGTTTGACCCAGAAGGACTATTTTTAAACTTTATTTAGAGGAATATCGAATGTTGCATTCTTTCAAACAAATTTAACGTATAACAATATAAACAGATTCAAAACTAATTCAGAACTAATCTGAAATGTCAAGGCTGCATTTACAATAAATAAAAAAGAGACATATAATTAAAAGTTTGCTATAACTACAGACAACATAATAATACATGTACGTGGTAAAACTGGTATTTAAGACGATATATATTTCACAGCAAATAATGCAGGGGGATACAAATGTGTTCTGATTGCATTATCTGTGTGTGTGTGTGTGTGTGTGTGTGTGTGTGTGTGTGTGTGTGCGCGTGCGCCAGTGGTGAGCAGAAGGGGAGGTTGAGTTTCCGGAGCGGCATACTGTAGTTTCACTTTAATTCATACAGCAGTGTCGCAGTCTTGTTTACCAGCCGAGAGACTCCCAAAAGGTACTGTAAATACTCTATTACTTTATTACTCTTATCACCAGGGTTCTTGTGTCATCTGTTTATTCAGTCATTTCATTCTGTCCGAACAACAACAAAAGTTAACGAGAAAAACAAATCCGAATTGTGTTTTTTGTTTTCTAGGTGTCTTTAGAAAATGGCGAGCCATGTGCTTTAGGCACAACGTTAATGTTTTCTTCGTCGTATCGAAATAGATACTGTCAGTCTAATAAAGTGGTTCTCAACCAGGTGTCCGAGGACCCTCAGGGGTCTTTGCTGGACTTACAGGGGTCCCTAGAAAATGGGGAATGGTGAAGTGAGCCTGGTGTTAGATCAGATAAGATAAGATAAGATAAGATAAGCCTTTATTGTCTGTCACAAGTAACAGAAATTTGTCTTTGGCAAGCTCCGAAAATAAAATAGACAAGGACACACAAAACACAATAGACATTATACAAGATATACAACAAAGCAGTGTATCTGGGTGGGACTTCAATGTTATTTTAAACTGTTCAGGGTGGTGATGGCCGTGGGAGCAAAAGTTTTTTTGTATGTGTTCTTCCGGGAAAGTGGGACTTTGTTACGGAGACCTGATGGTAGTAGTTGGAAAGATGGGTGCAGGGGGTGGGTGGGGTCCTGTGTGATGGCAGTGGCTTTCCTGGTAACTGCCTAGTAATCATCAGATCAGAGGTGTCACTTCCTCCACATATATCTCCTCAACTCCAGTAAACAACTGTAGAATTCACATCTAACTACCAAAATCTTTTCACATGGAGGTCCCTGAAGTGAAATGTAATTAAACCTGAACATGTGAGGGGGCTGCTCGACACTAAAAGGAGAACTACTGGTGTTTGTTTTTTTGTTTGTACTGTTTATTCCGAATATGCAAATAGTACAAGACTTCCCGATTGCTACTAAGCAAATTCTTTGCACAACATAATATAGAAATGAAAACTGAGGAAGCAAAATAATAATAAAACAGAGAAAAACAGAAAGTAAATGACATATTCGAAAAGGAGTGAGAAGTATAGCTTATTAGCTCTCACCCCTTTGTCTAAATAAAAAAAATAATGTATATATATACAGTACAGGCCAAAAGTTTGGACACACCTTCTCATTCAATGCGTTTTCTTTATTTTCATGACTATTTACATTGTAGATTCTCACTGAATGCATCAAAACTATGAATGAACACATGTGGAGTTATGTACTTAACAAAAAAAGGTGAAATAACTGAAAACATGTTTTATATTCTAGTTTCTTCAAAATAGCCACCCTTTGCTCTGATTACTGCTTTGCACACTCTTGGCATTCTCTCCNGGGGTCCTTAGAAAATGAGGAATCATTTATTTCCATGATTTAATTCACAGTAGAAGTGAGCTTGATGTTAGGAAGAGCCATCAGATCAGAGGTGTCACTTCCTCCACAGATATCTCCTCAACTCCAGTAAACAACTGTAGAATTCACATCTAACTACCAAAATCTTTTCACATGGAGGTCCCTGAAGTGAAATGTTATTAAACCTGAACATGTGAGGGGGCTGCTCGACACTAAAAGGAGAACTACTGGTGTGATAAACAAGGAAACCAAGTTTTCCTTCCCCTTTGTTGTGTGAGACTATTTAGTTTTTCTTCAACACCAGGCTCTGCTTCAAGTGACTTAAATTATTTTGTGTTTGACTGAACAGGAAAAGTGGACAAAAGCTCCAAACTAACACCTAACATACAGCGGCAGTAATGTGGAACAGACAACATGTCACTACGTTAATCTTCCAAGTAAATCAGGCTGTAAATATTTTATATAGTGATGACAAATATGCATATTCTCATACAGCTACTTATTAAACTTGCAGCATAAAGAAGGCAGTCATAGAGCTCATAACTTCTGCACACTGTGTCACAAGGTGTAAAGAAAGCTGCAGGAGAACATTCTGCTTGTGCACTTGTAAAGTCTTTAACATTTGACTGTGACCGTCTTTTCACTTTCACCTTTCATCTAAAGTGCATTTATTGTGAGAGCAGGATGTGTTTTCAACTTTTCATTATTCAAAGTCAAAAGAACAGACCTCTGTGGATCATTCGGCTCCTGATAAAAGCCTCCTGAACATATGAAAGAAAAAAGGTGACACCACACGAGCATGTGTTGGACTAGTTGCCTGCAGCGTCATGCCAGACTGCATCAGAAATACATGGATTTGTAACATGAAGCTGTATTATTTGGTGTTTTACCAGTTTAAATCACCTGGTCTGGTTGTTTTGGAGAGGAACAAACCTCTGTGGATCATTCGACTCCTGATGAAAACCTCCTGAACAATGAACACTGAGGGAATTCTCCTTGGGGGAAGTTTTAGGTGGTTGCAATCTGCAGTTCACCAGTAGAGGCCACCAAATCCCTGTAAATCTTGCACTCTTCTCCTTAAATAGTATTTGTGTTGTCTTTTTCTCAGCAGATGTTTTGAGCTGTAGTTGCAGGAAAAGCACAGGTGATACAAATGTGTCCTGTTTACTCCAGAGTCAGAGGTCAGCACTCAGCAGGTGTGTGTTGTGTTACAGCTCAGAGCAGCAGCAGAGACCACACTCTACATGGACCATGAGAGGCAACAAGAGAAAGCCAAGGTAAGTCATTATTATATTACTTTATAACTTTAGTATCTGTGTTAACTAAAGTGATTTATTACTATGTGACCTGTGTCATTTCATTTTATTTGTATCCACACTGACACTAGAGTCAGTAAAATCAACTTCCTTTAGGAGGAAAATACTTTATAATGAGGAGATTAATCGTTCTGTAGGAACAATATCTACTTTGACTGCACTCAGGGTGTTTTCACACTTGGTCCTTTACAGCCCTCTAAACAGACTCAGAGCTGTGACTCAGTAGTTTCTGTGTATCCATCAGTTGATGTGTCTGGATGTCTGATCATTTCATTTCCCACCCTGGTGCTCTTTGTGTCTTGTTTACTAGGATGACTGTGAGAAGTCTCTTTGATATGCTCCTCCAGAGTTACACATACTACTCCAGTCCCAGGTAAGCTTTTATCATCATTAAAATGTAACTGCATTCACTGATATTTTGCACACACACAAGTTTGATGATGTCAGTTATTATTATGTTACTTTATAATTGTAGCATGTGTTAGCTAACGTGCTGCTGTTGCTACGTGACCTGTGAAGACAAGTTTACTGTTCCTCAGTGCAGTTCAGGTTTAAAGATGTTGTTTTCTTAGCTAAGCATATTATTAATGTTTCATGTGTATCCACACTCCAGACGTTAAAGACAGTAAAATCAACTTCTTGTTCTGGAAGATCAAACTGACAGCAAATATTTGGGCCTTTGCACCTTCATAATAATCTTTGTGTCTGGTAATGATCTAATAATAATGAAGTCATGTATAACACCTTTTGCATCATTCCACACACTGTTATCATGTTTGAATTATGTTGCTTTTAATGTTTATTTTCATCCTCATAAAGTAGCATCATAACTCTGATTATCACACTTGCAGATGGGTGGACTTTTCTTCCTCAGAGAAGAAGCACGTTGTGGCAGATGATGAAGGTTTGGTCGAGTCTTCAGACGACCTGTGAGTCTAATCTGTTAACCTCATTTACATTGTTTCACACACAGTCTCAAATATTCAGATGAATCTGTGGACATGACTAAAACTTTTTCAGCACAGTCACATTCATGTTTTCTGTCACTTGTATCTGGACTGACAGACACTAAAGTCAGTTCAGTCAGGAGAGACTCCATTTAAGAGAGAAATACATTTATTGACATGGTGCACAATAAAGTTTAGAAATGT